GTGCTAGGTCTCCCTGCTACCATTCACTGGCTAAAGCCTATTTCAGGCTCCAGCCTATACATTACACCCCATCCCCAACACACACACATGCACACACACACTGGGTTAGGAGTCCCCTTCTCTGTGTTCTGAGGTTTGCTGAGCTTCTATTATGTGATGGTTAATTTTATGCGTTGACTTGGCTAGGCTACGATACCCAGTTGTTTAGTCAAATACAAGTCTAGATATTGTGTGAAGATTATTTTTATTTTTTGAGGCAGAGTCTCTCTGTGTTGCCTAGCCTGGAGTGCAGCGATGCAATCTTGGCTCACGGCAACTTCCACCTCCTGGGTTCAAGCGATTCTCCTGCCTCAGCCTCCCATGTAGCTGGGATTACAGGTGTGCACCACCGCACCTGACTAATTTTTAGTAGAGACAGAGTTTCACCGAGTTGGCCAGGCTGGTCTCGAACTCCTGACCTCAGGTGATCCACCTTCCTCGGCCTCTTAAGGTGCTGGAATTACAAGTATGAGCCACTGTGCCTGGCCTGTGAAGATTATTTTTAGATTGACAACCAATAGACTGAATAAAGCAGATTACTCTCCGTAATGTGGGTGGGCCTCATCTGTTGAAGGTCTTAAGAGCAAAGCCTGAGGTTTCCTGAAGGAGGAATTCTGGATCAATACTGAAACATGGAAGTCATACCTGAGTTTCTGACTGCTGGCCTGGCCTACAGAGTTGGGACTTGTCAGCCCTGACAATTGCATGGGCAAGTTCTCAAGATCTGTCTATCTGTATTTATTCCATGTCTCTGATGAACCCCAGTGGATCCGTATCCCATTGCATCTGGTCGTGGACTTCCCTGCTTTCCTGACCATCTCCTTATGTGAGGACAGAAATGAAACTGGGTCCTGTGTCCCACCGCATCCCCTGGGCCTCATGGAGGGCCTGCTCGTAATAGGCCTTAATATGTATTTGTTGCATATGGAATGAATTCACTTGGGAAACATGAAAGACATCCCGGCACCAATCAAATAACCATCCACGGCAGCACGGGCAGTCCCTGACTTATAAATAGGGTTAGTTCCAAAAATTCATTTGAGTAAGTTGTCTGAAGCTTTTTCCCATAACAACAAGGATATCAGTGCTGGCAACGCTCCTGGGCTGGCTGCCAGAAACCTATTTAACCCGTAGTATAGATTAAACATTGTGCATTTGCCATGAAAAATAGTAGAAAACAATACTCTTGCAAGGCTAGTAATTAGAAGAGAAGTATGACAGTATTGAACAAAAATAGGTAAAATTTTTCATTTAGAATATTGGAGTTCTGAAGAAAAATGGTTACAAAAGGATGAACAAGTAGAGAGAGACTAATGGAAAATTGGAATGGAATTCCTGAGTGTTTTCCAGGGTTCGAAGCCGATGGAACTGATTCTCTATTCGATGTAAGTTCTGCTCAGAACTTACAGCTGCTCCTCCCACCCCCTTTTTGCTGGAGAAAGAGGCCAGATCCTATTGGTCTGTTAAGGGTGTTAGTTTGTTCACACATGTAACAAAAAGGCTAAAGCACAGTGGGGTGTTTGGACGGGAGAGAGAGCGGGAAGAAAACCAGCGCAGACAAGGATGTATGTTTATGTGGAAATGAGATCGTCCAAGGTGAAATTAACTGAGCCATGAGGGGCGACTGCCGAGAAGGAGAGTGGGACAGAGGCCTGGATGCCCAGGCTCTGAAGGGAGCTTAGGGAGTGTGGAGGAGACGCTGGGTTAGACAGTTTTCCAGATCAGTCACCAGGAGGTACTGCTGCTCTGTTTTAGATCAGGGCTGCGGGTGAGCAACTTTTGAGGGGCTGTTGGGGCAAGCAGCAGGCAGGGTGTGTGGTGGATGTTTCCAAGTTGGGTGTTCATCCTGCAAAAGACTCTCTGGTTATCGAGATCCAAATGAGTAGTGTGGACAACAAATGCCCAGAGAACCGTCTGACTGAGTGTGGCCTGTGGGAAAGCTACTGAGGTGAGCCTGGGGCTGGCCTCAAAAGGCTGGCAGAGTGGGGTCAACAGGAGGGCAGCCAAGAGGGAGGCCCACAGCTAAGAGGGCCAGGAGGAGCTCAGCTCCAGAGGACGGGGGAGCCTGGCATGTTGGGGAAGGGGAAATAACTTCAGTGCTGACTTTGTGAAATAAAGCGGCATAAACAATGATGTTAGGGTGGGGAGGGTTTTTATTTTTTATTTTTTGTTTTGATGAGGAGGGAGCGAAACAATGAGTTCTTTTTTAAAAACCAAAAACTTATTTTGGAATAGTTTTAGATTTACAGAAAGTGGCAAAGACAGACTTCCAATGTACCCTTCATCCAGCTTCCCCTGAGGTTACCATCTTGCAGAACCATGACACATTTATCAAAACAAAGAAACTAACATTGGTGCAATACCATTATTCAACTCTTGACTTGATGCCAATTTCTCTAGTTTTTCTTTATGCTACTCCCACTGATGTTTTTTTTTTCCTGTTCCAGGATCTAATTCAGGATATCATGTTACATTTAGTCATCCTTCACCTCCTCTGGTCTGTGACAGTTCTCAGTCTTCCCTTGTTTTTCATGATCTTTATAGTTTAGAGGGGCACCAATCAGATAGTTTGTAGATTGTAGACAAACCCTGTTTGGGTTTGTCCAATGTCCTCTTATGACTTGAGTGAGGTGATGAGTTTTTAGGAAGAATATGACAGAGGTGAAGTGCCCTTCTCATCCTACCATATCAGGAGGCACATGACATGCACGTGACATTACTGCAGAAGCCACCTCTGCATGGTTCTCTTTTGGGATGGATTCAGCCTAATTTTCCAGAATAATCTAACATTCCTGCCTGAGATGTACTTTATTATCTAGATAAACCAGAAAAGACTTCTTGCTCTAGAAAAGCTGCCTATTTCAGCCATAAAAAAGAATAAGATCCTGTCCTCTGCAGGGACATGGATGAAGCTGGCAGCCATCATTCTCAGCAAACTGACACAAGAACAGAAAAGCAAACATTGCATGCTGTCACTCATAAGTGGGAGCTGAACAATGAGAACACATGGACACAGGGAGGGGAGCATCACACACTGGGGCCTGCTCGGGGGTGGAGGCCAAGGCGAGGGAGAGCATTAGGACAAACACCTAATGCACACAGGCCTTAAAACTTAGATGATGGGTTGATAGGTGCAGCAAACCACCATGTCACACGTATACCTACGTAGAAAACCCTCACATTCTGTACATGTACCCGAGAACTTAAAATTTAAAAGAAAAAGAAAGAAAAGCTGCCGACTTGACCATGTCTGGATTCTCCACTGAAAAGTTACTATTTTCCTTTTCCTTATTCTGTTGGTTTAGACACTAGTCACTGAGTCCAGCCCATCCTCAGGGGGGTGAAATTAAATTCCCACTCTTGGAGGAAAGAGTAGTAAAGAATTTATGGAGATATGTTAGAATCACCAAGGAGTTAATATCTATTTTGAGAGGAGATGCTTTGAGTCTTTGTAAATGTCCTGCTTTCATGGGCTCATTATTAGGAAAGTTGATTTTGCTGTGACAAGACAGAGGACGTACTTCTGAGGGAGTGAGAGAGACAGGATGAGAGACATATGTGAGAGCCAGAGAAGTTAACTTTTTTTTGCCTATGGCCTATCACCTAGCAACTTGTTCCTAGAGCTAGGACTAGAACTGAGTGTTGAGAACCTGGCAAGGCCCTGAAGAGAGGAAGCTATGAGGCTGGTGGGACAGGCGGTGTGCAGGTATGGGAGGAGTAAGGTGCGATTAGCATTGGTTCCTAGTGATGAATTCCTGGCTGTCGTTTGCAGGGGAAGGAACAAGAACTTGGTCAGCTCTAAGGATTCAGGCTGCCGTGTCCCATGGCTTTCCCTGCTGTGCTATGGGACTGACAGGGCTGAAGGAGAGGCCCTGTGGCTTCTTTGAGGGCCTTACTTCTGATCTGCAGTGGGCGCCTGCCTCCTGCCAACTCAAGGACTGCAAGCAGCTTCCTCTTCAGGGTTGCAGCTCGACACAGCCCGACTTGCTGGTCCGCTGATGTGGAGTCTGTTCTTGATCGACTCCCCCTTCCACATCTTTTCCCTAGATTTGAAGCGTCTGTCAACAGCTGGGATTCACTTTAGACCTGCTGGTGTGTGAATAATGGCAATAGACTGTGATGGGAGGTGATATACCAGCGTTGGGACCTTTGACGTCTTTCCTCTCCTATTTTGTTTTTCCATACCTTGGCTTTAAACACAGTCACTGGAATTAGGAAGCTGTTTGTTTTTGCAGAGCTAGGTTTGGATTGGCTGCAAGGTGACCCATGAGCTGGTTAGGAACCCCTTTTGCTGGAATCACTGGTTGCTTTAGGCACACAGCAGGTGGTATGTGTGTGAATGTGCATGTGTGTGTGCGTGTGTGCGCATGTGTGTGTGTTTCTGTGTGTGTGCGCGTATGCGTGTGTGCGTGTCCATGTGTGTGTGTGCATGTGTGCATGTGCATGTGTGTGGGCATGTGTGAGAATGTGTGTGCGTGTGTGTGCATGAAGGGAACCATGTATTGTCTCAGGATCTTCAGCCTCTCTTTGATCTATTTTATTTCTTTGATCTGACCTGGCTCGATTTGACCTCTTCCAAGAAGCCTTTCTTGATTAACTTTACATCAGCCTAATCGTAACAGCTAATTTAACTGCAGTTCTATCCTGTCCTGTAAGTATTACCAAATTGTTTCAAATGTGAACATTCAGACTCCCCACCTAGGATGTGAGCTCTTGTCTTTCTAATTCTGTTATTTACAGGCAGACTGAAGGATGAATATGCATGGCGCTTTTTTTAAAAAAAGTCTTTTTTGACTTCTAGTGGCTTATAAGGCCATTCATCTTCTGGAAGGGTTGAAGATGTGGATCATGGTGCCAGGAATCTAGGGATACCCTGCCCGTCCTTTGCTTGTGTATGTGTTATAAGCATGGGAGGTGCATGGAGAAAAGTGCTTCTTAGTCTAACCACATGGCCAGGCCTCTGTACTGTCGCTTCTTTATTTCACAAAAGACAACAGCAGAAAGCAGAATTAGCCTTCCTCAAAAGAAGTTCAAAGAATTCTCCTTATCTGAGTCAATGCTCCATCCCCAGTCTCTGCAGAGGAAGGGTCCTGGGCCTGGAATAATGACACGGTGGGTAGGCATCTTCCATCTGTCAAGAAGGAGGAAAGAAACACTGTTTCCATGCAGGTCTCTCTCTCTCTCTCTTTCTTTCTTTTTTTTTTTTTTTTTTTTTTGCCTTCTTATTTGCATTCAGTGAGGAGGTGACACATTCTAGAACATAACCTCCCTTTTTCATTCCAGGAATCTAATTGTGATTTCTGGGTTTGTGAAAGATAGAGGATTAGAAAGAACGCTTTTCGTTAAGACAACATTTGTAAATGCTTTATAATTATTTATGAAATTATCCTGCATTTTATAGCATGGGAGATAATAACTTAAATTGATGTATTAAACATGCACGATCATTATTTTAACAATATTAAATGTACCTCTGTAGAATAATCATTTCATAAATACGAAGAAAGCATTCCGAAGTGGCACCTTAATTTAAGATATTACAGGATTCGTGACACCCAAACCCACGACCCTTTTTCTTGAAGACAGATGGAGTTTCTTATCTGGCTGCAGTGTTCCTCTTTCTTCAAGTGAAAATGAATTCTTAAATTAAAAAATATATTATGGAGGTAATTTTGGCAATGGGAAAGGAGATAAGCAGAATTTCCCGGGACCAGAACAAATTGGACAAACCTTATCTTCGCTTGTCTCCGTTCCTCCATGCCCCCATGCCCAGGGTACTGGAAGAGTCATCCAGTCTCTGGGTATCCTGCAGGGCTTTGGGGCAGAGGTATGAGCTGACTGATGCTGGAGGCAGTTACGTCATTTTCCTCTAATGCCAAGGCTTTGGGGCTGTTTTGAGCCGGGGAAACCTCAAGCCAGAAGACCCATTTTGCACAGCAGGAGATCTCTGCAATGAGGGGGCGAATCCAGAGGAAATTTAAAATTCAGCAAAAAGGAGTTGGGGAGAAAGAGGAGGAGGAAAACTGTGAATCCCTATCCCTCATCTGGGTGAAGCTGGTTGGATCCAAGACGGGTAAGCCAGTCTCCCCAGCAGTGCAGCTCCACCGGCTTCTGCTGATGGTGCCCTCTGCTGGTCACTGTCAGATTCAACACGTTGCGTTCTAAGAGTATAACCAGAGGCTGTATAATCTCCACTAGGAATGAGGCGCTTTCTAAGGTTTTGGCTCTGTGCTGAGTGTTTTATGAGCATGATCCTGTTTAATTCTCACACCAATCACTGGATGAGAAAACTGAGTTCCATAGAGTTTAAGTGCAGGTTTGACCTTCTTAACTAATAGGCTATCTGGAGTTAGCAGGCTAGAGAGCTGACCTGTGTGGCCATGCTACCCACCCACTCCAGGCTCAGGAATGAATGAAAATCTATTCTGTATGTACAGGCCATACTCCAGAGTCTTAATGACCCTATTTGAAGTGCATCTTAGTCTCTAACTTAAATCCAGGAATATCTCATGTGCATGTCCTTTGGGGTAGCATGGGCCTTAGAAAGGATGTAATTTATTCTGAGCATTTAACACTGGTCTCTCTGGGTTCAAGTACTAGAAGCCATGCTGATTCTTATTTTTCTCAGGCCTTATACCCAAACGCCATCAGGAAAGCCGGTCAGCTCTATCAGAATCCAGCTTTCACTACTCCCTACACTGCGACCATCTTGACCTCTGGGGCCATCCTTGCTTATTTGTGCCCTTGCTAACGGCTGCTCTTCCAGCCTCTGTGCTCGCCCTCTCTTCCCACATCGTCTATTCTGAACACAGCAGACACAGTGACCTTGTTAGGACATAAATTGTATCATGTCCCTCTCTCCATCTCATTCCAGGTAAAAAAAAAACATCAAATGACCCAACAATGGTCTGCAGAGCCCCTATACAACGTGGCCTCACTGACTACTTAGCCACTTTTCTCCCCTTTGCTTGCTCTTTGCTCACTGTGTTCCAGCCCCATGGACCTCCCTGGTGTAGGGGGTCAGGGGGCTCTTTGAATATGCAAGTCAAGCTCTTCCTCTGAACCCGGGTGCTGGTGGAGGACTCTCTTGGAATGCCCTTCCCCTAGGTATCCTCACGACTTGTTCCTTCTCCCCACTCACACTTCTTCTCAAATGCCACCTTCTTAGTGAGGTCTAACCTGACCATCCTATTTAAAATTACATCCCCTGCTCTTCATTACCAACCTTCCTTGTCCATTTCATGTTTCTTCACAGCACCTGTCATTTTCTAGTACATCATGTAATGCATTTATTTATCATGTGTATTGTTTGCTCCCTCCACTAGAATGTAAGGTCCCTGAGAGCAAACTTTGTTCTTCTTCTTCTTCTTCTACTTCTTCTTCTTCTTCTTCTTCTTTTTTAAGAGACAGGGTCTCACGTTATCACCAGGGCTGCACGGCAGTGGTATGACCATAATTCACTGTGGCCTGGACTTCGTGGGCTCAAGGGATCTTTCCACTTCAAGCAGCTGGGACTATAGGTGCAAGCCACCATGCCTGACTAATTTTTTAAAATTTTTTGGAGACTGGGATCTCATTATGCTGTCCAGGCTGGTCCTGAACTCCAGACCTCAAGCAATCCTCCTGTCTCTGCCTCCCAAAGCACTGGGATTACAAGGCATGAACCACCATACCCAGCAATGGTGACGTTTTGGTCTGCTTTGTAACCTGCTACTTCCTAGCACTTGAAAATGCCTGGAACACTGTGGGTATTTAACAGATCCTTGTTAAATGCAGGAATGATGGGCTGCTCCCTTGTCCCCAGCTGGTGGCAGATCAGGTGACCAACTGTCCTGGTTTTCCCTGTATTAACCTGGTTTTAGCACTGAAAAGTACAGCCTCCTGGGACACAACTGGGATTGTTGGTCACATGAGTGACAGGCAGGAAGAGCACTAAGAAGGGACATCTGTGCTCAGGAGCCAGTGAGTCTTTTCTCTCTGCCTAGAGTCTGGAAGCGGCACCTGTCTTCCCCTGCATCATCAGAGGATGGGGTGGGGGTAGGAGAGTGGCTCCATCTCAGAAAAGGCCTTTTGAGTTATTGAAATTGCAGCTTATTATGAAGAAGAAAGTGAGTTTCTATTTCCCTGTAAGTGGCACAGGAGTAGAAAAATGATAGTGTAATGATGTTCCAGTTGAACAATTATTTTCCAGAGATGAAGCAACATAAAGTATCACTTTGATTATGCGCTGCCTTCTTAGCCCACCCTCTCTGGCCTAGTTTAGTAGCCAATAAATCTTTGAGCCTCCCTGACCTGGGGCTGCTGTCTCTGCAGGGACTCACTGGCTGGGCCACTCCTCTCCTCATCTGCTCAACCCCTGCTTCTCCTAACTATGGTTTAGGATGACGAATCCAGGCCAGGGCTGAGGGCAGAGGTGAGAGGAGACGGATGCAGAGGGAGAGCAGGCTGCTGAAAAGCTCAGGCAGTAACCTGAGTGTGAGATGAAGGCCTGTGATAGAGCTGGGTGGGGCTGTGTGGGAGAAACAGAGAGAAGAGCAGGGATCAGAAAGAGATTTTCAAGGCAGCCTCATTAGGATTATCTGGGCATGAAAATGAAGAAGGATCAGTTAGAAAGTGAGGGTGGGTCTGAAAGAGCTGGGGGCCAGAAGGGAGTCATCTGTGTTGAGGGATCTGTGGGGATCGCTCCCGCGTGAGGCCCCTGGGAAATGGGCCTCACTATATGGTGAGCTTGAGCGCGGACACAGATCCCCGGTTGGGGGAGTCGAGCTGAGGGAAAACAGGAACCGAGAGAGGAACTATATGTTATTCAAAATAATCAACAGACATTACTTTATGGATATGAGGACTTGGGAGGCATTGTGTCTACTTTCGGCTTCTTATGGTTTATTGTCTCATTGTGTTCATTTTGGACCCTTGTTACCTTCATTGTAAAATATTAACTTAAGTATTTACACTTGGTAACTTACTGTAACTTACTGGGTGTAACTGTAACTTACAATAACTTACTGGGCGTGGCTGTAACTTACTTATGGTAACTTACAGGGCATAACTGTAACTTATTTACCATAGCTTACAGGGCGTGACTGTAATTTACTTACCTTGACCTATTGGGCGTAACCTACTTACTGGAAGTAACCTACTTACGGGGCGTTGCCTACTTACTGGGCTTAACTTACTTACTGGGCCTAACTTGCTTACTGTAACTTAAGTACGTTAATCTGGCATAAACAACTTTAATTTCAGAAAAGTATATAATGAAACACATTGCAAAAATAAAATTGCTGCATGAGCATAGCGCATGTAGCCCTCCAGACCTCGCCTTTTCTATCTCCTTTTTTCCGGCGCACGCTCTCTTCCAGGTTTGGGACCCTCTCACTGCACGAGATTCCCGGGCTCACGTTCAGTTCACAACACTGTGTTGCCCCCTTGGGGGGTATACATGAAGACCTCTCCATTAATACTATTATTTTAATTTCACTGTTAAATCAGGTTGTTTGGTCTCTGAGTCTGCTGTCTTAGTTTGTATAGGCTGCAACAACAAAACACCACAGACTGTGTGGCTTAAACAACACAAATTTATTTCTCACAGTTCTGAAGGCTGGGAAGTCCAAGGTCAAGCTGTCAACCTGTCTGGCTCCTGGTGAGGGCTCTCTTCTTGGCTGGCAGACAGCAGCCTTCCTGCTGTGTCCTCAGGTGGCAAAGAGAGACCTCTGGTACCTCTTTCTCTTCTTATAAAGGCACCACCCCTATAGGAGTAGGGCCACATCCCACGACCTAATTTAACTGTTATTACTTCCTCAGCCTGTCTCTTAATACATTATATTTGGAAGGACATGAACTTTTAGTCCATAGCACTACTTCTATAGATTGAATGTTTGTGTTCCCCCCAAATTCATATGTTGATGAATATGATAGTATTAGGAAACAAAGGTCTTTGGGAGGTCATGAGGGCAGAGCCTTCATGAATGGGATCAGTGTCCTTATAAACGAGACCAGAGGAGCTCCCTCATCCCTTCTGCCATGTGAGGTTATAGTGGAGTAGGAAGTGGTCCTCATCATACAGCAAATCTGCTGACATCTTGCTCTTGGACTTCCCAGCCTCCAGAACCATGAGGAATAAATTCTGTTGTTAAGCCACACAGGCTGTGGTATTTGGTGATAGCAGCCAGAAGAGACTAAGACTACCTCATTGGAGTTGTTCCTTCTTGGGCTTCCTCTTGCCCCCTGGGACCAGAAATTAGTTTGAGATCAGCTGTGTTTCAGCTTGAGGATTAGATCTTGTTTCCAGATATTTAAATTGGTGGCAAGTGTGGTCCTCAGACCAGCAGCATCAGCTTCACCTGGGAACTTGTTGCAAATACAAATTCTCAGTCTCACTCCCACCATTCCCAGGCCCCCTGAATCAGGGATTGGGCTGGGATCTGCAATCTGGGTTTTAGAAAACCCTCCAGGTGGGGTCTGAGAACAACTGCTTGAATAAAAGAATGCCTTCCTTGAAACCTGGCACTTTGTTTCCAAGCTTTAGAGTCAGACTCGCCTAGAATGCTGATAAAACACAGATTGCTGGCCCCATCCTGCATTTTTGATTCAGGTGGACTGGGAGGAGGCTTGATCATCTGCATTTCTAACACGTTACTGGGTGATGCGATGCCACTGGTCCTGGTGCCACTGCTTTAAGTGAACTCTTCTGGCACCTTCCTGAAAAACTGCTCTTGTGGCCATGGTGGGACTTTCACTTTGGATCCAGTTCCAATGTGTTCTCTGGTTCCTTTAACTGGACTTGACCAATCCTGGCATCCCAAGGTGACCTTGGGCTCTTGCTCTGTCCCCCATTGTCCAGCATTGGCAGTGGGGTGCCTGCTGTTTCCTGGCCAGAGCTGCCAAAGCACCTGCTTCCTCTCAATTTAGACTCCAGCTGGAGGAGAATAGGTCCGCATCACCTGGGCTCAAAGTCTGATTCTCTGTCCCTAACTGGGCCTCTTTCCCTGCCTCTTTCTCCTTCCAGGTATCTGGGTCCTCCCTTGCACCCATACCTCACACATCACTGCATCTTTGTTTTAATTTCTGCTCCTGAACAGAGTG